ACAAAATCTTGAGGTTCAACTACAAGGAAACAGGCATCAGACAACTACAAGAAATATGCTAGCATTTTGCTCCAGCACTCCGTGCTTTCAAAGGTCTTGAACGCTCAAGCCTGCAAATATTAAGAGATTATAGTGGTAAGATCACACAACAAACTAATTTACGCTCAACTTTTTTGTTATGAATGTTAGCAGCACCTTCGGATTTATCTTGAAACTAAATTTCTTCCCTGGTCAATTTTAAACATATAATGTTGTGGAATTTAGTTGACAGAGAGAGGAAAAGAGAGAAGAAAAAATAGAGGTAGCGGCAAAAAGAGAAAGACAGATATCTGAATAATGCACATATAAAAGAATCATGTTCAAGAATCAGGTGCATTGCCTTATATCCTAATCCAACCAAATCCCATCTAAATCCTACAAATATAAGGATAATATTTAACTCCTGTCTAGATCCTACTAATATAATTTCATTCCTATTAAAATCCTAAATATAACTGTAACTAATTCTTAATCCTCTTCTTATTTATAATTACATATCATATAACTACCAGAAGAATGTCACCATACAACCCCTTAGCCAAAAAAATCCCAAAACAAAGAGACAATTTATCCAAAGGTATATGAATGATGTTATCGTAGCAGTTTTGAGATTGAATATAGAGCATGCAACAAGTTTATTGATTTGAAAAATTATACAATCATGAAAAACTTTCAAATCATAGTAATTTCCAAGAGTACTTACTAGCTCAAATGCCACATGCAACAAGATACCAAACAAATACAGTTTCAGTCTGATGAGGAAGAACGTAAACTTCATCCAAATAACATTTTTACTTGTTAAAGCAATCACAATTTGCCATACGATGATAACTAATATTATCAGAATTAGAAAATAAAATATCACCCAAAACAGAAAATTTATCCATCACTAACCTGGAGGAAGTGATTGCTTCAATTTATCAGCCTTCTCTGGGTCAAACACACAGAGAGTGTAGAGATACTTGGAACATCGAACCTTGAACTTAACAACATCTCTGCTCCTCTTGATCTTCACTGACCTTGCATCTTTTCTTCGGGCAGTGAGAAGAAAGTCCTTAATCTCATGGATTTGCTTAGGCTGTATAGAACAATGCAAAGACATTAGAAAAGAAAAGGCGTAATTACAGCAGAACTGACATAATATATGCGCCAACTTGGTGAGGCATTGACATTTGAGGAACTTAAACATGACGAGCCACTAGATTCTATAAGTAAAATATGCATCCAGAAAAATTACTGGTTATGAACTAATCCGAAGATATGGTAACACATTTACCGAATTTTCAACTATTCGAATGGTTTCATTAATTTAGCATAAACTTATAGAGTATCAATGACGAAAACCAGAAATTTGACTTAAGTTTGATTCAGTTTAATATAGTCTACAACAACATCCAGATTTTAAACGAATGAGCTACCAACCAGTTCATTCAACATATCAACAACATTAATCAGCAAAAGCTCGCATCCAAGTTACTTGAATATTCAATTCCTAAGATTGTGCCTGGATGCACAAATCCCATATTTCTGAAAAGTGTTCCCAAATGTTCCTAAACACTAAAAAATTATTCAGTTGGATGATATTTAAAGAATGAGAATATACTTAATGAAACAACAATGAGAAAGTTGTTAAAACATGATTATGCAGTAAACGTACAACAACTTGCACAGTTTAAGCATAATGAAATCGTGTCCCCATAACACAAGTGCAAAAATTAAGTTAACCCATGTGGACCCATTCTAGTTCTTCCATTATATAGTGAATGAAGATAAGAAACGGAAACTTCATTGATTACAATGAAAAGAAAGACGAGATGAACAATGGAAATAGGGTACCATCGTGAAGACCGTGACCGTCTGATTCAACTGCTAAAAAAGCTCCGAGCTCCGGCACTACGGCACACAAGAAGTTGTTGAGGGTAGAAGAGGGGAATTGCAAGTTGCAACGGCTAATAAACCCTAGCCTGGTTTCTTCTATCCGCCCAAAGGTCTGTATGGGCCTCGGCCCAATCAAGGGTAGGCGTAAAAAAAAAATATCACAAAAACAAGGCATGAATATATATATATATATATATTATAAATAAATATGTGTGGGTAGAAAATATTTTCAACTGAAGGATATTTTATTTGGTGTTGAGATGTTCTGAATCTATATCTTTGGAATTAGCAAAATTTAATTATATGAAAAATGGAGTTAAATGTTGATCGGCGATATATAGTTTTTTTAAAATTCAAATTGCATGATATAATGTAGAGATACGATACGATATGTATTTGATATGTTAATATTTATTATTAAAAACATGAGAACCTATTTTCTAAGAAATTTTAATGTTTAATTTTAAAAATCATAATAAGATATTAAAAATAATAATATAAGAATCTCAAATAAAATTTAATTTCTTAAAAAATGATTTGAAGTGTTGATTTTAAAATATCCAAATATAGAAATAGGATAGTACACTTCTTGCTCAAAAATCATATCATAGCGTGCCTTCCAAATCCGCCACAATAAGATCAAGATTAATGGTCACGAAGCTGTAAGGTGTTGCAGCAGCCATGCACCTAAATGATAAGCAGAATTGGTTTCAAGTCTGATCCCTAAAGTAGACCCAAACCACAAAAGCCTCTCCCTCTCACAAAATAATAGCATGTGCCAAACAGATTCCTACAAATCATTACAAAACAAATAAAAAGATGAGTTGCACAATGCTTTTTCCACAGAGCATCCCCAGTTGGAATATGATCCACGAATCTTCCTCATATGATCAGCGGATCTTCCCAAAATCTGAAATTTAAGCCATTTCCAATTGAGTAACAGTAGTGATACTGCAGCAATAAACGACCCTCAAGCAGGGACGAATCTAGACTTAAATAGTCCTTTGGTAAAAAAAATATAATTTTTATTTATAAAAAATGTTAAAATAGATTTTAGGCCCCTCACTTTTGGTTTTATTTTCAAGTCACCCCAATTCATCACTTTCTAGATTCGTTACTGCCCTCAAGTAGACTGGACCGCGCTAAGAGGATCGTCCACCCTTAATAGCCCTCAATTTCCCCTTCCTTTCTCTGCCGTACACTTCCTTCTCACTCTTGTCCTGCTTTCTTGGCCTCCCAATCCCCCAATCTGATAATCTACAAACTCTGGTAAGCTAATTTGGATCCGATTGGTGATTTAATTATACTCACTTAATGAGTACTTCATGTGATATGATGGCAATGATATGATTTCATTGAATGGCTATCAAAAATTTTGTTATTTAATATTTAAAAAGTTTGAAATTTTAAATTTTTGGAAGTACAATATAAATAATGAATATTCTAATCATGTTAATTGTTTTGAATTTTTTAAAAAAATATATTTTAATAATTTTTAAATATACATAAAATTCAATGATTATAAGTGAAACACTAAGGTCATGTTTGGTATCATTGAATTGGTAAGGTGAAAATAGAATCAGAGATGGAATCCTAATTTAAACATGATTGGTATACAAGAACCACAATTCTTAAGAATCCTAATTCCATCAAAAATGCTAGAATTCAATTTCATCATATTGACTATGGAGTTGCTTCAATTCCTTTGAATTCATTTTGTGGACCCTACTACCCTCATCTTTTTTATTCATTTATGATGAGGTAAGTCTTTTTAATTTTGAGAAGAAAGGGCAATTTGGTCTTTTCTAATTTTAAGTACATATATAAATTAATATTATATTAGAATTTCATCTTCACATTAAACACACTTTTAAAACTCAATTTTATTTCGATTCTGATTTCAATTTCAATCCCAATTCTGATTTTGATTTTAATTTTGATTCCATTAAAAACTCTTCCATCATACCAAACAAGGGCGAAGACCCTATTTGGTATGATGGAATTCTAAGTCTGGAAATGGAATCATAAATGAATTCTTGATGTAAGTTTGTTTGGTATTATAGATTTTGGATTCATTGGAATTCCAATTCCAACAAAATATGTATAATCCAATTCCATCTCAGGCTCTATGAAATCCATTCGATTCTCTAGAATTAAAATTTAAAGCCACTTCTACCCTCATCACTGTCTGTCTCCTCCACGACTCCACCCTCATCCATCATCATTTGCTTCACCTTCAACCGCCTCTAACTACTTGCCTTCAACTTCATTGTTAAACTCCAATCATCATTGCCGCTTTTGCTGCCGTGATGAACCAGCTAAAGGACATGTGATTTACAAGAACAAAAAATACAAAAGGTAAACTGGTGGGATGATAGCACAGAGGTCGCCCAACCATGGAATCAAGTTCGACGGTTCTCTCGTGGGGATTTTGTGGGGTATGAATATGCTCTAAATTTTTTCTGGTTCAACCCATATTTCTAAAAGTTACGAAGATCTTCGTGTGGTGACAATGGCCAAGAGGAGAGACGAACATAAGAGAGATGATTTTTTTTAAAGGATATTTTGATCATTTCATATTTTAAATACATATATATTAAAATTAAATCAAGATTCCATCTTCATATTAAATATATTTTTAAAATTTTATTTTATTTTAATTTTAATTTCAATTTTAATTTTAATTTCATCAAAAACCCTTTCCATCGTATCAAATAAGGCCTAAGGGTAACATTCAAAGAATTCAAATACAATCTTGCATTATAAGTTTTTTTTTTTTTAATGCAATGAAAGTTTTGATAGTTCATTTTTCCGTAAAAATTTCCTCCTTTCTTCTACTACTGCATAACATTTCAGGAGCCATCCATCGCTGTCCTCTCGTCCCAAATCTGGTTTCCCGCGCATCTGGATGAAGTCGATGGTTACGATTGGATTCCTCACACTCTTGATGCTAGCGTCGTTTTATTAAGTGAATTGTCTACCACCATTTGATCAATTTGACGGCTGCGATTTCGCTTCTGGTCCTGACCGCACAAAAGCGACCATGAGAGAAACCGAACGCCGGCTACAGTCCGTTGAGAGTCTGGCGACTGTTTTAATGCCTTTATCCACAAGTTCAGAAATTGCGAGGATATGAAGTGAACGGCAATGGCTTCAGTAGCTTCATCTTCATCGTTTTTCCCTGCCCTCACACGATCGTATTTTCCTCCATGGGGTAACGGAAACAAAACAGCGAGGTCCAATTTTCTGAGGATCGTCACTCGCTCTTGTCTTGATGATAGTTCCTCTCTGTCTCAAGCAGCGCAATACACTGTATGATTTCTAGCTGGACTTTAACTCCCAAAATCTCTATTCAAACGGTGTTTTTCTCTCTCTAATCACGCTGTTTACATACACACACGCATATGAAGTTCTTCGAACAGAATCTGTCGATAATTAACTTTGATTCAGCATTTTCACTAACACCAGCGAACAATGGCTCACATTGTATTTTGCGCAATGTGTTCCTATTTGATGGAAGTTGTTTTTGTTATGGATCAATCCCCTTTTTCGGCGGTTAAGTCTTATACAATTGCTTTGCTTATATTTAACTAAATAGCGTGGTATTGAAACGCAATTGATCTCTTCCTACTCTTCTCTTTAATTGTTCATTTCTATGAATTGATTAGTGATATATTTTTCACTACCAGGTGGATACATACGTAAAGAGTGGCATGGTCATAGGATTGGGGTCTGGTCAGGCTTCTGGTTTGGCCATTAGGCATTTGGGCCAGCAACTTCGTACTGGTGCTTTAAAGAATGTAGTAGGGATCCCTATGTGAGTCCAATACCCTTGTATAACTATGTTGGATGTTTTGATTTCATTTATATGCCAATTTCAATTTTGGGTTTCTTCGTCCTTTTTCACACTTCTTTCCTTTGAATTATTATTGTTTTAAACAAAGGGTATAACAGGTTTAGATTTAGATCACTGTTGTTCGTTATGCCATACCACTTCCAATTAGGAACTTAACGTGTAACTTCGCCGAATCAGGTGAGATAGATGCTTTGCTCTATGCAGGTCTGTCACAAGTGCAAGCGAGGCGGCGAAGGCAGGAATTCCACTGGATAGCTACCAAGAGGGTTCTCAAGTGTGCACAAAATGATTATAATCTTATACATTTTCCATTATTGTTTCACGAGCATATCTTGTTTAATAAGGCTTTTGGACGTTTGCTAGAAATTTTAGAAGGACGTGATGACTTGTTAGCGTTCCTTTGTAAAGGCTTTGCCAAAATAGAATTTTCTAACTTGTGCATTTCTTGAAACTTCTTTTGATACATTAGATTATCTCTATCCCATAGTGTTGACGACCCACAAAATTAAGTGCATCCGTAATTTTTCTTTTCTTTTCTTTTCTTTTCTTTTTTGTGAAGTAATTTTTCTGCTTTGTTTGCTGAAAACTTAGATTCATGTCTACTTTCGCTGTTGCAGATTAATTTTGCATTTGATGATGCTGATGTTATAGAAGAAGGATCACTTATTGCGATCATCGGACGCCGGAAATTGCATGGTGAGGAATCCATACTAGAAAAGAAGGTGGGATACTGTAACTTGCATTTTTTTCCCCTGGTGTTTCTTTTTGATTTTGTGTAGATGAACTTCCATCTTTGGTAATTGAAAATTTGTTTTTTATCCTTTTGCTTCCAGTCCATACTAAATGCTGCCAATAAACTTGTATTTATTATTGAGGAAAACCAGTACAAAGGTGGTTTGGAAGGTTCTATTCCTGTTCTAGTTCAGTCTGTAAGTGGTTATGCAAATTGTTAGGTCAATACTATTTTCTTGTGTGCACATTACTAATAATCAATTTCTATCTTTTCCTAGTTAAACTGGTTGGAAACAGCTGAAGCGATTGATGATATGTTTTTGGGCGATGCTGAGGTTTGCTAGACATACAAACATTTAATAAATTTTGTCTCATACACATAATGGGAGGTGTTACTTCTTTTTCTATGGTCCAGATAATTAGAATGGCATGTCTTATTGCTAGCTTTCTTGACTTTATAAAAGGTTGTGGACTTAAAATTTGCCATAATTTGTTTTTAAGGAATCCGTTTTTTCACTTGGTTTGCTTTTATTTTTCCAGATCACTCTATTTGTATGATTCATTACTTAGCTGCATGAAGGACCATCTGGTTACAGAAGTTATATGATATGACATAAAAGTTCAATTAATTCCCCTGCTTTTACAACTTGATAAAATATTCAACTTCCCATGTGAAGAAACACTTTATCTAATGTATAGCTACTGCTTTATTCTTTTGAATATGATGCATCTCCATATAAAAATATTACTGCTTGTTCAATGGTGCTCGGTAACAATACTTTCATGTTCTGATTGTATTTATGGTTTATCTCTGTAAACAAAGGTCTGGAGAAGACCATCTATAGGGCAAGCTGGTCCCCTAGGAGGTGACTTCCCACTAGTCACCAAAGAGGGACATAATTTGCTCGATGTTATTTTTACATCTCCAATTGAAAGCCTTGGTAAATTCTTTGCAATGATGACTGTTTCAAACTTCATTTCTCAGTTTTCTTTGTTGTCCGTTGGTTTTCATCTCAATTTCTATTTGTAGCTGAAGTGGCAGAAAACCTCAATACAATTAAAGGTGTTGCAGGGCATGGAGTCATTTCAAAATTTCCGTTAGTTTTCTTTCACCTTCCTATGCTCTTTTAAATTTGCCAACTTACACACATATTTGCGTTTCTTCTGGAATCTCTGCCGTAATTAATCAGAAACACTGGATGGAACTTTTCTTAAGTCGTTTATCTTAATTATAGCCTTTCCCTGAGCCTCTTCTGAGCCTTTCACTGACACAATTATTGTGTGACGAGCCTTCTTTAATTTACATGACACTGAAAAGTAATTAAATTGAAAGAACAACTTGGCATGAGGTTTAACATTTTAAGAGGTACAAATGTGCTTATTTCATGATAAAATGTTATAGTTCAGTTGAAAAGTGTCATCGTTATTTTGCCATAGTATCAGTTTTCTTCAAGCCATAATAAACGGTATATGAGAGTTAATAATATTCAGGTAATACGAAACAAAATGTTATGATGACATACTTCAATGACCAAGACGATAAATTAAGTAAAAGAAGTCAAGCCATGTAATTCTCCAAAAGGCCTTGTTAGTGTAGAACCAATAGGAAACTCACATAGAACTTCAAAATTTAAAAAACCTCCATATTAATAACCAGTGAGAAAGGGGTTTATGATAATGACTAGTTAGAGCCCTATTTATAAGCAACACAAATAAGATATTCTAATCTACTAGAATACTAATATAAATCTTGCCCTAATAAAATTATGTGATGGGACAGCAATTCCCTACCTCAAACAGTAAACCTGAAAACTAATAACTAACCTAACTAATCCTGAAATTGCCCCGATGACAAATTAATAACTAATCGTCTAATTTTTGGATTACTTTTAGGCAGTGCATTGCTTCTTGAAGCAGATAGTTTGCATTAACAATAATGAACTCAAGGCAGTGGCATCGCTTCATGGAGATAGTTTGCGTAAATAGTAATAGAATTATATGAAGGGATAGCAATTCCCTATCTCAAACAGTAAGCCTGACAACCAATAACTTGCCTAGCTCATTTTATAATTGTCCCAATATGGTAGATGGCAATTTTTTTTTTTTGGTAATGATGACAAATTATTTATTATGTTCTCAAATAGTGACAAATTAATAACTAATCATATATTTTTAGATTGTTTTTAGGCTGAAGCATTGCTTCTTGAAGAAGATAGTTTGCATAAATAGTAATATAATCGGATTAGATGATGGAATAACAATTCCGTATTTGCAACAGTAAGCTTGATCAATAACTAACTTAAGTATTCCTATAATTGTCCCTATATGATTAGTGACAAATTAATAATGATCTCAAATAGTGACAAATTAATATACGATTGAGTGGGAGGGGATGCAATTTAGCTTTCCCATATCAATTGTTTTCCGCCATGTTTGAGTGGCCGTTACACTTAAATCGTGGGATGATAGGACAGTTTCCAGCCTCCTATGATTTATTGGAAATTTTCCTTTCTTATTACATGCCTTTGACTGGATTGACTCACTCAATTGGAAATATATGAATGATAATTTGTGAAATGACTTATTTTTATAGAGATCCTTTGCTACATGGCTGTTGTGCTTAGAAATTTATTTAAGTTTTTAACTACAATTTATAAGAAATCATTCATCTTGTATTATGTAGGATTTACACTGCTCATAAATTTTAAATTCCTATTCAATATCTTTCAAACTAATTTTTAAATGGTTGAAAAAAAAATTATAAATAGCTTCTTATTGTGTAATGCAGATGCTCAGTGGTAATTGCTTCCCAGAATGGGCTTAATGTTGTGGACAAATTGACAGAAAAGGTAGTGGGATAAGAATTTGAATCTCAAAGTGATAATTTATGGCGATGCTTTACTTTTCACCTAAAGTGTCTTTAGATGATCAAATGAGGTAGTGCTTTAGTTATCATATTATGTGGTGCAGTTTTGTGGCGGTCCATTTGTTTCTCATCTTTTTCCCCTTTATTTGTTTCTTGTGATCTTGTCTACCTCGGCATGTGTTTCACAAAAAAAAAAATAATAATAATAATAATTAGCCAATACAGGAAGGCTGGCTTATTTAATGCGAATAATAAAGATCCACTGTAAATGAGAATAATTTTTTTAAGAACTTGATTGATAATAGAGTATAATGAAATTATGTAATTCATATAGCTGATCTCATTTAGTAAAATAACACTTGTTATTGATTAGAAAAAAGAATATTTTTTTAATTAGACCAAAAACCCAAGTACTTGGGCCAACAAATATAAGGAGACCAACAACTAGAACTATACACAGATTGGACCCAAAATGGGGGGAAACACAAAGTTGAACTATATATTTGGAATTCATGCCATAATCACCAACATATTTTGCTTGTCCTCTATATTGCATCGACTGAGTCTGAGTGGAATGTCCCTCTCAACCGGTCAGTCTTGAATAGAGTAATCAGTTAATTGGTTCATCTCAATTCTCATCCTCAAGAAAGCCCCAACTACATCAATCAGTTGGTTCATAGTTAAAGAGTATTATTCTATTGGTTGTTGATCTTTAGCATTGTTAATTTGTTGCGTCCGCTAATAGGTTGGTTGATTTTTGAAAAGTATTATTCAATTGATTGATATTTAGAATTGTCACATCAATTGGTTCGTTTATTTCTTAAAAGTATTCCTCCATTGGTTGAACCTTAACATTAGAATTGTCAGCTCCTAACCACTCGATATGATTATGAAATTAATTTTAATTTGTCAACTATATAATTATGAAAATAGAAAATTAAAAAAAAACTGACGATTAAGGTGGCTGTATTTATTTTCTCAAACATGTAACCGACTAATTAAATAATTAATGCGATTCTGTCCATGAAATGCTTAAATCTGCTTCACTTGTATCATTCTATTCTATAAATTATTGTTTTAAAAACTGAATCAAACATAAGGTCAAATCGGTTGGATCGTTGACCAGAACCATTAATGACTCAATTTAGATTAAAAAGTTGTTTTTAATAATTGAGTTGGATTATATTAAAGTTGAGCCGCTATTAAGTTAAAAATCGAAATTGAATCAGAAATTAGAATGGTTTTTAAAAAATTTGACAATTTTAAACATAATATTAAAAAATATAAAAATTTAAAAACTAGAAATATTCCAAAGCTAGATCCTTATTAAAATAAAAGTTAACTTTATTTTTGAATAATTTACATGTATAAAAAAAGTATTTTAACAGTTATATGTATAAATATAGATGTTTTTGAGTTTACTCATATCTAATTTAATCAAAAATTATTTATATTTGATAAATTATAATTTATAATATTATTAATTTATAGTCATTTTATTAATATAATATAGGTTTGTTTTTATATTTATATATATATATTTAATTTCTTTTATTTAATTATTATTTTATTAATTTAATTATTAGTCTGATCAGTTAGAGCATGAAAATTGAGAACATCTAATTTTTTTTATTCAACATCCTGTCTGACTTTTGAAACGTCATTAGAAACAATATCTAAAGTACTAAACCATCGTTTCATTGAGCTGTAATGTAACGAGACTGCCGACATTCTCAGCGCTGCTTTAAATACCAAAAATACTCTTCTCCCTTTTTGTCAATTTTCTCTGACAATTAAGGACAAAAGGGGCACAAAAAAATAGCACCATGTTTCTTGTATCCCTCTATTTAGATGAAAAAAAAAAGTTAAAAAAAATAAAGAGGAAAAAAATTTAAAAAAAAGTTACTCCTTCCATACAAAAATATAAGATATTTTTAATCAAATTTTATTCTCAATAAAATAGTTACTTATTTTTAAACTAACATTGTCTTTCCATATTTACATCTATTAAATACCTTACAATAAATATAAAGTTATTATTAATAGGAGTACTTTTGAAAAAAAGACAATAATCATACCTTAAGAAATTAAAAATGTCTTACATTTTTTAATACTTGACTTTTTCAAAAAATACTTTATATTTTTTAATAGATGGAGTATCATTCTTTATGTTGAATAGGGAGTAAAAAAAATGACCAAATAACATAATGATTATAATACCATTATACGAAAAAATGTCATATTTCATTTGACTATTATTGTAAAAACAAATTAAAAGAAAAAATTATATTAAAATTAACTTCATAAAAAATTAAAATCAATTTGTTTATTAAAATATATTATTATATTATTATATTTTAAAACCAAATAATTTAATAAAAATATATTATTTTTATTTAAAATATTAAAAGGAGATAATTTATTAAAATTAAATATAAATCATCTATACGGTACAGTGGGACATCGTAGCTACTTGTGAAGAAGAAAAAGAAGAGTGAGATAGAGAGAGGTTTTGCATAAGAGAGAGATTGACAAAATATAAAAATGAAAAAAAAAAATAGAAGAGAGAAGGGCACACACGAAATATTTCTTCCTAAAATCTCTTCATATATAAAGAGAAAACTTAGAAAAGAAAAATGTGATGGGTCCAACCTTCTATTTTCTCCCCTCACTTTTTCTTTTTCATCCAAATAGAAAAAAATTTATTTTCTTCTCAATTTTTCCTTCATATTTTCACCTCTAATTAAATATTCTAACAATCTTATTTAAAAAAATAAAAATATAAACTTCTAAAAATTTCAATACTCCATTTATGAAAAAAATTAAAAATAGATAATATAATAGTAAGGATAATATTAAAAAAATATTATTAAAATATTATTTTTATCAACGTATCATATATTTTAGGATATCAAATCTCTTACAAACATGTTTTATAATTTGAGATTGAAAGAATATCATATCCGTTTTAAATTATAAGACAACTTTAAAAGTATTTTGTTATCATAAAATATAAAATAATTTGATAAAAAAAGTTTCATTAATGATAATTTTTTAATATTATCCTTTAAGTGAAAAAAATTAAAATATTTGTAATGTAATAATTTAATGTGTAGATTTAAGTTATATTAAATGAAAAATATATTTGAAAGTTTATATTTTTATTTTAAAAAGTAAGCTTGTAAAGTATTATTATTAAACTTTATTAATATACATAATCTTATTTTAAATTATTTTTTAGTTTAAGACGGAGGGAGCACCATGTTCCTCCTATCACTCACTACAGTAGCAACGGACTCTATTTAAATAGTAATGATAATATTGATTATGAGAATTATGGATTAATACGTGTATCAAACTGTTATGACAAAATCAACTCAACAAGAGATGTTCAACGTGGCTCTATTTGGTATAAGGCATAGGTGATGATAGTATAGGAATAGATGAAATGATACCTTTTTTCGTAATAAAAAGTTTGCACAGGGTAGACGTCGATAACTCACAAGGGCGAGACCTCCTAATTTCTTTGAGGAAAAAAACACCTATTTTAAATATTTGGTGCATTTAAATAGTTATTCTTATGAAATGACCATTACCTCATTTGAAGTAATGAGCCTCCCTCTAAAAAATTATTAAAATGGCTCCATTCTTTGGGAGTGAACATTTTTTTTTACTAAAATATTTCTAGTTAGTAGTTTTATTGACACAACTACCTCTCTCATTTTTGCCTAAATTTGACCCTACCCGCTTTTGCATCTCTGCTGACCTTCTTCTTCATGCCTCCTTCTCCTCCATCGAACTTCTTTTCCATCACCCTTCCTCTCCATTAAAGCTAGTAATATAGGTCAATTCATGACCAACGAGTTAACCTCTAACAAGTTGCAGGCTTGGCTGGATGGGTTGATATAACCCGCATCTTGTACATGTTGTATTTCTACCAACCCTCAGCGGGTTGGTGGGTTAAAAAATATTTTTATATACATTTTTTAATTTTAAAAATTACAAAATTATTATTATATTAGAAGCTTTATCTATCATTAATTATTAGTATTACACAATTAAATATGAAAATAAATTAATATGAAGAAGTCTAGGTAGTAAAATTAAAATTTGACATTAATTTGAGTAAAAGTTAGCGGGCTAACCTTTTGTTTTTTTTTTTTTTTTGCTAGCTGAGAAATTTTGAATTCATTGAAATAAAATGTAATAACAATGACAATACATGAAAAATTAAAGTTAGTATTTATCCACAACTTGACAACTAGTAACTCATAATTCAAAAATTGTTAAAGACGATTTAAATGTTAATATATAAATCATTTTAAATGACTTTAAAAATGATTCATACACCACTTGAGATGGTACTACTTCAAATGGCAATACAATGATAAAGAGTTTGAACCCCACGTAACATTAAAAAAAGGATAGTTATATTGCTCATGCCTACTTAAAAATATTTTACTCAAATTAAATTGTGAAAAAAAACCTTTAGTTGAATGCATGCTACACTAATGCACTCAATTGGTTATGGATTTATAACTCTTTCAGCTAATTAAATGTGACAAGTAATAACAACAGTAGGTAACAAGCACGTAATTTGAATCATTTTAATAATTTGAATAATGGCGAGGATTTAAGAATTGAAAGAATAATCCTGCAATTTTTATCTTTTTTAAAAAAAATAAGCGAACTAACCCACCACCCTGTAGGTTAGCTCGATGCAAGTTCAAGCTATGCAAGGTGGGCCAAAACCATCCCGCATAAAAATGAACCCACTTTTATTCAACCCAACTCGTTTTTTTTTTTTGCAAGTTAGTAGGTTGGGCTCACGAACTCAACTCATATTACCATTTCAATTCTCCATCATCAACCTGGATCACACCGTTATTGGTTACCCTCACTGCTCCAACCTTTATATAAACGAATTCCATTATCATCGTCCCAGATCGTGCAACCCTCTTGCCCCATCTCACTTAGTCATCTCATTCCATTGTTGCCCAGCTTGCATTGCCTCTTCTTCTCCTTCTTTAGCTCGAGGCCTCGCGACAGGTCTGATACAAAGATGGTTTTTTTTTTAACCTTTTCACTTCCTCCTTGCATGACTAGTTGTCATTGAGCTTTTATTTTCAGGTTCATGAAATTGGGTTTTGGTAACATCTTCTGGTTTTGCTAGGTTAGGTTCATGAATTAAAGCTTTTGTTTTCTGGGTTTTGTTGTTTGGA